CTGTGGCGGGGGCCGGTGGCAGGGACGACAGCCTCACTCTCTGGAGCTCTCTGCGACTGAACAGTAGCTCGGGCACCTGCCACGGCAGCTGTGTGAGCCAGGCACCATTCTCCACTTTACAGGTGACCTTGAGCTTCTTGGACAAGAGCCCTCATGGAGCCACAGGCTAGCCTAGGTGCCCCCAGCCCAAGAAGGCAAGGACAGGGCCTGCCCTGGTCACCATGGTGCCCCCAGGCACCTGAATGGGACCTAGCACCCAGCCAGGGCTCAATAAATATTTACTGTACGCGGGAGCCTCCAGGATCCCGGAGAGGCAGCAGACGGTCTGCATGGGAGCAGGTGCAGTCCAGGAGTCTCGGCTCAAGCAGCTGCCGCAGCTCTCTCTGCTCTGGGACACGGTGGGCAGGTGCAGGAGCTGGGGAGCAGGAAGCTGTGGCTGGAGCCATCTCCCAGGAAAGCTGGGGAGGGGGAGGAAGGGAGTAAGAGTGAGTGGGGGTGGGCCCCTTCTGCCCGTCCAGGGACCCTGAGATGTGGCAGGCAGCTGGTGAGGGTGAGGGATGGAGGCCAGAGGGGCTAGGGAAGGCCGGGCAGGGGGCAGCAGCACCCCCACCCAGCCTCCGGCTGTCTTCATCCCGCCTCCTGCTTTCGCTTGCCACCCCCCACCCCGCCCCCCGCCCTGTCTTCCTCCTCACTGCCCTCTCCCAGACCTGGGCGCTGGTGCCCCATCGCCCCGCTCCATCCATCTCTTTGGCATCCCATCCCCAGGTCTGGGCTCTGACTTTGCATCCCTCCCCGCCAGCCTCTCTCTGCCTCAGTTTCCCTCATCTCCATCCCCCCTGCATCCGGAAGACTGGCCTCTCCTGAGGTCGGAGGCTCTCCCACGCTGCTGCTGCCCTCGGTCCCGCCACCTTGATGCCCCGAGGCCGCCAGCTCGGGGGAGGCAGCCTGAGCGATGGGTGGGGGCGTCTGGGAGGCGCGGGGGAGGGGAGGGGAGGGCCCATCCACCCCGGCCTGGGCAGCCTTGTCCCTCGCCGGCCTCAGAGGCTAGATTGGGCAGGGGGTGTCCGAAAGGGGTGTCTGACGCCCTGCTTCACCACGCCGGGGCCGCTTCTCCGCCCACCAGCCTAGTACAGGTGCGCCCGGAGTCCCGTCGGTGGACCCTGCCCGTGCGGTGAGCGCCCGCCACTCTGCTTCCGCCGCACGCGTCGCGGGGGCGCCCTGGAGCTCTGAACCTTCCTTCGTGAACGGGTTTGGAACTCGGGGTGGGGGGCGGTACAGGACCACCACCCCCGCCCCGAGAGGAAGGAGCCGCCTGGGCTCGGGCGCGTTGCGGGGGACGAGAAAGATGGAGACTGAGAGAGCGAGCCAGCGAGCGGTCGAGGGGCCGGGAGGAGGAAATAGGGAGGGTGGGAGGCAACCGGAGAGGGGGCCAAGCGCGGTGAGGAGCGCGCCGGGGACCGGAGCGAGCGCAGCGGCCGTGGGGCGGGGACAGCGCGGGACGCGGCTGTGCGGGGCGGCGCGGCGCGGGGCCCCGCTCCTGCCACGGCCCGGGCGCAGGGGTGGGGGCTCGCCGGGGCCATCGTCTCCTTTTCTTCCCGGGCCCATGCCGGCCGATCGATACCTGCGCGGGACCTGCCCCCGACGCTAATATCTTTTTAATGAGTTCGCGGGGCTTAAAGCCGGCGCGGCCTGCCCTCCAGGGCGGATTCTCCCGGGCAGATGTTCCGGGAGGAGGCGGCGCGCGGGGGCCCCGGGAGGGAGACGAATCCACCGCCGGGGGCAGGGGACTGGGACTAAAGTTCACAAGAAAGGCAGGCTTTCACTCGGCGCCCAAAAAATGTATTTCTTGGCGGACAATGGGCTTCTTTCTGTGCCTCCGAGGGCCAGCGAGGCGGGAGGGTGGGGACCCGTGCGCCCCGGCCCCGCCTGAGCGGCTCCCGGACGCCTGCGCGGGGGCTGGGGCCGCCGGGCTTCCCACCCAAAAGCCGGCTGCAGTGCACCGTCGGGGTCCGGGGCCGAGCCGCGCCGCGTCTCCGGGTACGAAAGGGATCTGCGGGCCGGGCCGTGGGGCCTGGGGCGCCCTGGGCTACTCCTCGCGCCCCAGGTCTTGCGGGTGCGGCCGCCGGGCCCGACGCGGGGGAAAGCAGGACAGTTCTCTGGGCTCGGACCGCAGCCCCCGGCCCCTCGGCGCTCCGCCCCGCACCCGCACAAAATCGGAACCGGAGCCTGAGCCCCACCCGGCCCGCCCTGCCTTCGCCCTGGCCCTCCACGACGCCGCAGCTCCTGCGCCCGTGGATCCGAGCATCCGACGGCGCCGCCGTCTCCCGCTCTCCACGCCCGTGGGCTCGGCGCAAGGAGGGACCCGGGGCGGCGAGGGTGACCTCCGAGGAGCCGCGGCCGATTGATTCGTTCCGCCCGGAGCCGGGCCGCGCGAAAGGGGCCCGGGCGGCGGCGGCGGCGGCGGCGGCGGCGGGGATAAAGATGTTCTCCCTGAAAGGGGGAGGGAGCGCGGAGCGGGAAGCGGGGCCATTCACTCCTGGCCCGGCCCCTCGGAGGAAGAAAGGGGGCCAGGGCCTATTCAAGCCCTACGAGCCGCCCACAATGGGCCGATATACTGGGGGCCTCTCTATTAACGCCCATGAATATTAAAGACGGAGCCGAGCAGCGGCCCTGGGGCGCGAGGGAGGGGCGGTGCCCGTGAGCTGGGCCCTGCTGGGCCCAGGGGAGGGGACTCCGGTGCCCCGGGCCCCACGAAAACCGCCGCGGTGGGTCGGCCAGGAAACTCGAGCCAAGGGGTCTTGCTCCCCAATTCCAAGGGCCCGAGACTGAGCGCGCCCCAAGAGCCCCCCTTCCTGGGGGGCGAGTCAGGTTGGGTCTTGGCTGGGCCTGAGGCGCAGGACACCAGCGATCGGTGCAGACGCCCCGGGTCCCCGGGCACCCAGCTTGGGGGCTGTTTTGGGCTCCCCAAATCTCCTGCGCACAACACCAATCTGCAGCTTTGCGGTTCCGAGAAAGGAGTGTAGCTCCGTGGCCGCTGTCCTAGCCGTGGGGTCCTGTATCTTCTGACTCCAAGCTTGGGGTTCGGGACCCGGATGCCGCACCCTGCGATGGACGGACACACGGACTCCAGGGCTTTTCTCCATGGAATGCGACCCGGGAGTTGGTAGAACCTTTGGGGGCCTGGGTGGGGACAGTGACCCAAAGAGAAAGCAGAAAGAGAGCTCAGGTCACAAAACCTAACTGGAGCCAATGGGCGGGCAGGCACACCAAGGTCCAGCAGGAATAAGGGACGCACAGCCGTCCGTGGTCCTGTGGTCTCCTGAGGGCGCTCAGGTAGGTGTCCCTGCTGAACTGCGGGTCTCAGCCTCCCCTGCCTGGGCGCACTCTCCTCTCCACCTGCTCTCGGCAGAAGCCAAGGCCCAGGAGCCCCCACACCAGACGCCTCCTCCCTCAGGAAGTCCCAGGCAGAGCGGGTGTGACTGGCCATCGCATCCAGAATCCGATGGAGGTTCCCGCACCCTCTGGCTCCTCCGCAGCGCTGCCCTCTGCTGGCGCGGTGCCCCCACGGTCCTGCAGGCTGCCCCACTCCAGCCTGGGGCAGATCTGGGCTCCGGGTCTCAGGGAGGGCTGGCTCCTTCCTGTACAACCGGGTGCCAGCAGGGATGCCCCAGACCATTGGCCCGAAGTGGGGGAGCAAGGGCCGGGGACCCGTCGGCGCCAGGTGGGAGGCCCAGCAGCCGAGGGGGCTCTTTGCCAAGGAGCGATCAAGTGGGGTTTCGCTTAAGGACGCTAAGTCGCTGCCCCTCTGCCTCTCCACCGCAAGACTTTCGAAGTCCCAGAGTCCAGCAGAGAAGTGGCCCTGGAGCCCAACGCTCAGGGCCCTGGAACACCTCTCCGGGCTGCCACCTGCCTCGAAGCCCCTGCAGCGTGGGGTGGAGTAAGGCAGGTGTGTCTGGGGCTGCGGTCGGGGGCTTAGGCGGCAGCAGCGGCAGACAGCGCCGGGCTGTCAGCGGCGGCTCCCGATCAGCGGCTCCGCGGGCGTTTGGAGAGGGACAGCGCGAGGTGCCTCGGAAGCGCAGTGCGGAAAGTCTGTTGGGAGAGGAGCGGAGAGCAGGGCAGAGCGAGGCCAGGAGAGAAAGGGCAGGAGGCCGGGAGGGACCCAGGAGCCCGGAGGGCCGAGCCGCGCCCCGGCCTGGCAGGGGCTGCCCGCAGTTCCCGAGGCGGACCGCTCCCACGCAGGTCCAGGCTCCCTTCATCCCCGCCGTGGCCCGCGGGAAAGCCTTTCTTGAGCGACTGGTGGCCAGCGCGGATTCGGGCCGCCCTTCGACCGACCCCCGACCTAGCGCCCCTCGCACCCGGAACCCGGCTGTCCGCGAAGCCGGCTCAGGCCCGCCCGGCCTCGACGGCGGCCGCGGCCCGGCCCCGGCAGCCCCCTCTGCGCCACCGCGCGAGCTTCGCACCCGGCTGCGCGAAGCGAGCAGGGCGGCCGGCGCGGCCCGTTTGAAGCGAAGCGCCGGCTTCGGCAGCGCCGTCTGCTCCGGAGAGATGAGTGCGGCGGGAGCTGGGGCTGCAGGCGGCCGGCTTCGGGGCGAGCACCGCCGCCTGGGGCGTGGAGCCCCAAGGAGCGCGGGGCGCGGGAGGGCCGGGGCGCGGTCGGCCCGGCGGTGCGGGGGATGGGAAAGCCCTGCCGAGGGGCTCTGGCGAGCGTGGATTCTTGCCTGGGACAGGAGGTGCGCTGGGGCCCGCGGGGGCCGAAGGCCAGGAGTCCCCTCCTGCCTGACGGGGTCCCTGGAGTCCGGGCCTCGCCGCGCCCCCTCCCCTGCTCCATCCCTCCTCTTCCCGCCGCCGGCTGAGCGTCCCTCCCTGCCCGGCGCTTCCCACGGGGAGAGGAGGAGGAAGAGGAGGAGGGGGGGAGGAAGAGCCGGGAGCGGAGGGAGGAGTGAAGGGGGCTGTTCCGAGCGGTCCGCGCGCCCCCGCCCCTCGCGCTCCGGCGGGCGGCGAGAGCTGCTCCAGCCGGGCCGGGTACAACAAGTCTCCTCCGACGTCAGGGGGGTCATTAATAACCAATTAGGAGGGTCACTGCGGCTCCTATAAAGGCGCTGAGGTTTTTTGCCAAGGGGAAGACGGTCCCGGCCGGGTGTGCGAGAGGCCTGCGCGCGTCCGAGAGCCCCCAGCAGCCGCCGTTTCTCCGCAGCCGCCCGCCCCCCGCCCGCCCCGCAGCCCCCGCACCGCCTCTGCCTCCACCCGCGCCTTCAGCTCCTCGCGCCGCCTCTGCCGCCTCTGCAGACTCTCCCCTCCGCGCCCGCCTGCCTCTCCCCAGGCTCACTCGCCGCCCAGCCACCCCCTCGCCTCCCGCTCCCTCCCGCGCCCTCCGCCGCCGCGGCCTCCCCTGCTCCGCTTCCCTCTCCTCCTCCATCACAGCCGTCTCCTCTCCCTCCGCGGCTCCCCTCCTCGCCTGCGCGCCTCCCCCGCGTCGGCCCGGCCGTCCGTCCGTCCGTCCGTGCGTCCTTCCCCGGCGCCGGCGAGCCCCGGGCCGCCCATGATGGGCTCCGTGCTCCCGGCGGAGGCCCTGGTGCTCAAGACGGGGCTGAAGGCGCCGGGGCTGGCGCTGGCGGAGGTCATCACCTCCGACATCCTGCACAGCTTCCTGTACGGCCGCTGGCGCAACGTGCTGGGCGAGCAGCTCTTCGAGGACAAGGGCCACCACGCCAGCCCCAAGACGGCCTTCACCGCCGAGGTCCTGGCGCAGTCCTTCTCCGGCGGTGAGTCGCGCCGTCGGGGCTCGTCGCGTCCCCTGCGCCCGCAGACCTCGGAGCCCCCGGCCCCGCGGCGCGCGGTGCGCCCCGGCTTCCTCGCGTGGCAGAACCGGGGCTTCGGCAGCCACGCTAGGGCTCGGCGCGCGGGGGTCGGAGGCGGGCGGTGGCAGCCCCGCACCAGGCGCGGCTCCAGTCCCGGATCCCGGCGCCCGCCGCCCCCTCCCCACCCCCAGCCACACACACCCTTTGAGTCGGCGGTCCCCGGCATTTAAAGCCTTACTAGGCGTGTAATAGCAGTTGACTCAAAAAGAAGGGGTTTTAAATTCATTTAGTTAACTCGGGCTTGACCCGCGAAAGTTCCCACTTAAACCAAGGACTTTAAAAGGCGGCGGGGGCTGGGGAGGGGGCGGAGGGCGGACGGCCCGGAGAGAAAGCCGCGGGGAGAGCGAGGGAGAGCGAGAAGTTTCTTTTCTTTAAGGTGTCTCAAGTTCTCACTCCTCATTCATCAACCCGCAAACAATATCTGCCGGGCGCTGGCATCGCTGCGCCGGGCCGGCTCTCTCCCCCTGGAAGATCTCTGTTCCTCCCCTAATTTACCGTGACGCCTAATTCCAGCCCCATTCACGCTATGTCAACCATCTAATCCCCCCTTTTTGTAAAAGAGGATTCCTCGGCCCCTTTTAAACAAGTCCGCTCCGCATGGAGTTACAATTTACTGCTACAGCATTCTTGCAGGGCTAATGAATTTAGAATTAGCCATTTCTTTCGAATGGAGCCCAGTGAATGCGACCGCTTTAACAGCGTGACAAATTGCCGGCCGCGCCGCGGTGGACGCCGTGTGACCCCCCTTCCCTCCGGCCCGCTCGCCGGGGACTTTCCCAGGTAGCTTAGACCGAAACCTTGTAAGACCAGGAGGCCGCCCCCACTCCGGCCAAGGGGGACCTCCGCGCGCCTCGGGGGCCGCCCGGGATCCGCCTCGCCAGGACTGCAAGGGGCCCCGGAACCCGCGAGCGGAGAAGGCGCGCTCGGGGTCGCACAGCGAACGCGGGGCCGCCGTGCCACCGGCCGCGTCTCTCCTGCACCTCCGCCGCCTGGCGCGGCCCGGGCCCTGTCCCCCCACCCCGCGCTGACTGCCCCCGGGGCAGCGCCCCGATTCCCGACGCGCAGGGGGGCGCCTGGGCGAAAGAGTCTTGGGTTAGCCGTCACTTCCTCGGAGGACCTGCGCTCCGTTTCTCCGCCTGCTCGACGCACTGGGTCCCGAACTTTTCCCCGGGCGGAGGGCCGAGGAGGGTATGGGAGCTTCGCGGGGAGACTGAAAACTCGCTCCTGGAAAGCAGCCCCGGTTACCCTGGGCTGCGGGGGTCGGGAGCACAGGGGCCCCCGTTACGCACGGAGGAAGCCGGCAGCCGAGCCTCCGCCCGGCGCCGCTCCCCTCCGCAGCGAGTCGGGATCGGGGCCCTGACCGCGCTGGCGCCCCACTTCGCAGAGGTGCAGAAGCTGTCCAGTCTGGTGCTGCCGGCCGAAGTGATCATCGCGCAGAGCTCCATCCCCGGCGAGGGCCTCGGCATCTTCTCCAAGACGTGGATCAAGGCGGGCACGGAGATGGGCCCCTTCACCGGGCGCGTGCTGGCACCCGAGCACGTGGACATCTGCAAAAACAACAACCTCATGTGGGAGGTAGGCGCCGCGGGGGGCTCGGGCGAGGAGCTCGCCGCCGCCGCCGCCGCCGGCCGGGCGCTCTGCCTTCTTCCCCGTCGGCGCCCGGCTGCCCTGCCCCAGGCTGGACCCGAGGGGACCTGGACCGCTGGAAGTCTGCCCTCCCACTGCTGGGAGGCAGCTGTTCCGAAAAGTCTGATGCCTCCTCCCCTTTCTTCCAGCCAACCCCAGAGAGAGAGAGAGCGGAGCTGAGACCTGTAGTCTCTCGTCCAGGGTCCGGGAGCCATCTCCAGGGCCACCTCTTGCCCCCCAGCTTTCTTTTCCTAGCAGGAGAAGACCCTCAGGGCTGGCCCTGACCTGGGGTGGGGGACAGCTGGAATAAAGAGGGGACGGAGGGAGCCATGCATTTCCCCCCCCAACACCAGGGAAAAAAACAGTCGCCCTCGCTGGGGTGGCATTGCTGTCCCCACCCCAGTTCCCCATCTGCAGTCCCTGGGATTTCTCAGCCCCATTTTCCAAAGGACAGGGACTCAGGCTTCCACCCTGCCCCCACAGTGCCCCATGCCAGGGAGGGTCACCCTCTGCACAAAGCCACTCCTGCAGCCCCCCCCCCCCTCCTGGGACCCTCGCCTTGCAGAAACCCAGCCCTCTTCCTAGTCTCCTCCTGCCCCGGGCTGCTCCTGCTGACTGTCTCCTGGGAGCTCAACGTGACAAACCCAGCAGCTTGTCCCAGGAGCAGGAGGAAGGGAACAGGACAGTGGCCCAGAGGTCTCTCCTAACCGCTTCATCCTCCCTTGAATGCCTGGGCCAGTGGTTACCTTCTCCAGTTGTTGCTGGGTTAGGACGTCGAGGTCTAGTTTGATCTCTGGGTGCGGACGTCGAGGTCTAGTTTGACCTCTGGGCGCCCTTGGCAGCTCCCACACAGGGGCTCCCGTGTGCCCCCTCTGAGTTCCTGGCGGGTGTTCCCCACTGCTCTGGGAAGCATCGCTGCATCCTGGGAGAGGCCGCTGTCGCGATCCTGGGAGGCCCTTTGTGTCGCGGGGTGGGAAGGACACAGCAGATGTGGAGCCCTGCACACTGACTCCTTGTGAGCCCCTTCCCGCGGGGTGGGCTCCGACAGTCGCTGTAGCACCTTTTTCTCAGCCGGAAACTGGAGCTGCAGCCACAGTGGCCTTCTCCAATTCTGGGCACTGTTGTGAGGACGGAGTGTGTGTGTGTGTGCACGCGTGCATCCACACACCCCGCACGGGGCCTGGCCGGGGCCACAGCCACCCCAGCCTCAGCCAGGCCCCTTGGTACCTGCCCCCAGGTGTTCAATGAGGACGGCACCGTGCGCTACTTCATCGACGCGAGCCAGGAGGACCACCGGAGCTGGATGACCTACATCAAGTGCGCCCGGAATGAGCAGGAACAGAACCTAGAGGTGGTCCAGATTGGCACCAGCATCTTCTACAAGGCCATTGAGGTGTGTTGGGGGGGGAGGCACCCAGTACGAGGCGTCTGTGACCAGAGATCACCGTGGCTCAGGGGCATTGGTGGTGGTCCAGCTGGCCCTGCCTAGGCTGTGGGGCTGAGGCCCAGGCACCGTGATCTCCAGGGCCGGGCCCTTCCGTGGGAGTCTTTTGGCTGCATATCAGGCTGAATGGAACTCCCCTACCTTTTTTTTTTTTTAAATACATCTATTTATTCATTTATTTTGAAAGAGTTACAGAGAGAGAGGGGGAGAGGGAGACATCTGTGATTGATTGGCTCACTCCCCCAGATGGCCATGACAGCCAGCGATGGGCCAGGCCAAAGCCAGGAGCTTCTTCCGGGTCTCTCCACTGCTTTCCCAGGCCATTAGCAGGGAGCTGGACTGGAAGTGGAGCGCGCACATGGGATGCCGGCATCCCAAGCGGCAGCTTTGCCTGCTACGCCACGACGCCAGCCCCTTTATGCCATGGCGGACGTCATGAGCGTTTCACTGGCGCGGTCCCTGGTTATCAGCGGAGCGCGGAGGTCAGAGGGACACAGGGGAGCAGCTGGGGAAGACGGCGCAGGCAGTGCACTTGGGGTGGGAGAGAGGGCGTGGGGCTGGCTGCATGCTGTCCCTCCTGGCACACAGCTGGGGCACCGAGGACAAGAGGATCTGCCCTCCTGGCTCTGCGGTAGCTCGCTGCGTGCAGGCTCCTCCCCGACACTGGCTGGGCACCGCTGTATTTCATCCTCACCCCACAACATGGGAGAAGTGTGCGATTACGCGGATTATTTACAGTGTGCAGACAAACACTCGCTGGGCACAGGTCCCTCAGCAGCCCTGGAGGGGCCTTTGGGTGGGGCAGGGGGTGTGTTAGGAAATACCGCTTCCTGCTGTGAAAGGTGTTCAGGAGGCTTTGGACGGGGGTGAGGGCTGAGCCAGGGTGAGCCTGGGAGGGTTTAAGAGGAGGATGGGCAAAGCAGGTGCTCCCGATAGCAAACGCATGGGCGGCGGCAGCAAAACTCAGGATGCACGTGAAGCCAGGGCGCAGAGCAAGTGTGGGGCGCACGCTCAGGAGTGGGGAAGCTGCCCCAGGCCGGCGCTGGGCTGTACGGGGACTCGGGTCGGGGAGGGAGGTGACTGGGGCGGAGCAGAGTTGTTTGGGGGAATGATTTCCCAATGGTCCTCCTCCGTTGTCTCCCTGGGATTCAGGGCTTCAGGCTCTCAGCCCCAAGGGGCACCCTGGCCTAGGAGCTTCCGGGCCTGGGGTCTGTCTGCTCCCCAGTAACCAGGCCCCAGGGACTCTCCCCGGGGCTGGCAGCAGGAAGCCACTGTCTGGGCTTGGTACAACCAGGAAGTGGAGCCCAGCTGAGCAGTGGTCCCTGGAAGGCTGTAAAGTGGGGGGTAAGGAAAAGTGAGCAGCTCCCAGACAGGGGTTCAAGAGAGGTGGGACAGCCGTGGGGTGCCGTGAGGGTCGGATTGGGCCGCCCACCTCCTAGCGTCAGCTTTAGGTGCAGGGGAACCCCTCAGACCCTCCCCCACCCCACTCACACCCTCATTCTCACACACTCCTCGTTGGTTGTCCTGACACAGCCATGCAGAGGGCGCACCCCTACCCCACCCCTCCCTCCCTCACACACACACACACACACACACACACACACACATGAGCACAGCAGACAGCCAGAATACCTGCTTTGTTTTGGCAAGAGTGCTCCCGGCCCCGGGCAGACACAGGGAATCGAGTGCCCTGTCACGGGGCAGTCCCGCCCCCCGCCTGGAAGCTGGACAGAGCCGGGAAATGCTAACAAACGAAATGAAGTGTCAGGGGACGAGCTGGCGGGAGGGCCTCTCGGGGAGAGGAATCTGAGTGGATAGGATTGGGAAAACAAGCTCACCCGCATCCGAGCATGAATCTCAGTGCATACTGGGGACCAGGATCTCGTCATAGATAGGAATATCTGTAATTGAGGGTCATGGGAAACACAGGATGATAACACTATGCATTTTTGCCCCAAAATAAACACCTCTTTTAGTTCCATTTTCCATGAACTTTTTGAAGTCCCCCGTATGTGCTGACATCTGTGTTATATCGTATGGGATGCAGGTAGATACTCACCAGACTGGCTGTGTGGGCTCGTACAGAATTAGCAAGCTTGCCGTATTTAGGGGACCATCAAATATCCCGATTTTGCTTTCCGTAATTGAACGTGGGCACATTCTTCATGGTGGCCATTTTCTCCGACCATTTTGTCGCGCTGTCAGTTCTTGGGTAAACTGTGCCCGGAGTCCAAGTGACCCCCTCACAGCAGGGCCGGGGTCCAGAGCTCCTGTGGGGGCCCGCACCAGGCATCCTGTGGCTCCCCCGGCCCACGCCCTGCTCATCTCTGGAGTAAATCTACTGTCTGTTCTGAGTGTGAGTGTGAGTGAGCCAAGGAGAGGGACCGTTGATGTGATCTCTCTCTCTCTCTTTTTTTTTTTTTTAAGATTTATTTTAAAGGCATAGTGACAAGGAGAGAGGGAGAGAAAAAGCGAGATCTTCCATGTACCTGGTTCTCTCCCCAAACGACTGCATGGGCCAGGGCTGGGCCAAACCAAAACCTGGAGCCTGGAACTCTGTTGGGGTCTCCATGTGAGTGGCAGGGGCCCGAGCACTTGGGCCATCCTCTGCTGCTTTCCCAGGTGCCTTAGCAGGGAGCTGGATCAGAGGTGGAGCAGCCGGGACTCGAACCAGCGCTTGATAAGCAATGCCGGCATCGGGAGCCGGCACCGTAACCCACTGCTCCACAGCACTGGCCCTCGAACTGTGTTCTTAATCTTCCTGCTACTTACGTTTCATAACAGTAACCCATTGCCTGCCAAAAACCAATGGGAAGAAAATAGTAGGCAGAATCTACTGGGGCGCTCTAAGCGTGGCCGCAGACACAAACCCGGCTCTGAAGACAGAGACCAGGGCAAGAGCTTCCTGGGCCCAGGCAGCGGCCAGAGCGGTTGCGCAGGTTTTGCCTCTGGCCGGACCGGCTCACACCTCATCTGCAGGGCAGCCGCCTGGCTTGCTTCAGTCCCGGAAGAACTGGCCGTCATCTCAGCTGCCCGCAATGCCGTTTCTAGAAAGAGCCCCACCCAGCAGAGCGGGCATTGAAGGAAGAAGAGGTTTCCCTGCGGGTGATGGGGGCCGGGTGGAGACGGGGGACACCCAGGAACCCAGTGCTTCCGGGAAGACAAAGCCGGCTGCCCAGAGGCAGGGCTTCGCCTCCAAAGGCCAGCACCGGGAAAGGACTCGGGGACATGCGCTGGCGTCTGGGACTTGGCAGCTGGGAGGAAGATGCCCCGTTTGCCCTCGTTTTGGGGGGCCAACTCTTGAGCCCTGAAATGTTGAGTTTTTCTTTCTGCTACTTCCCTTCTCATTTCAGGCTGCTAAGCCTTTTTTTTCCCCCTCCTAGAACCCGAGAGCCCTGTCTGTTATTTCTTAATTGTTTCTTTTTTTTTTTTTTGTATTTATTTTTGTTTTTGTTTTTCCTTCTTTCCTTGGTACTAAGAGAACAAGTGCCCTTTGCTTTTTCCCTTGCTCATTGGTGGGGACGCGGGTTATTAGTGATAAGCCTGACTGATAATGATGGGTTATCAGTAAGAAGCCTGATCGGTAGTGTTGGATTTTAGTAACCAGCTGGACTGATAACGTTGGATTGTTAGGAATCAGCCACACGCTTTCCCCGTGTGACCCCGTCCTAGGGATCTCAATGACTTTAAACACAGGATTCCGTGAGGCACGCTCGCCTACTGTCCCATTTAACTGGTGGTGACAGTGAGGTCCAGGAGATTCCCGAGCCGTGCCCCGAGGCCAGGCTGTCTGGCCTCACCGGTGCCCCGTGGCCTCGCTGGCCTGGAGCCGTTGCTGGAGCTATGTCGATGGCGGTGTTGGGGCACCTGCAACCAGTTCCGATGGAACTGATGCATGTGCAGCTGACGTGGAAACCCTTCTGCGCCCCTCGGGGAGAGGGGGAGAGTGGCAGAGGCTGTCGTCTGCGGGCAGAGAACTCGGGCACGGTATTCCCAGAGCTTTGAGGACCAGGGTTTTCTACGGGGCTCGGTCCCCTTGCCATTGCTTTGTCTGTTGTGTGTCCTGAGTCGGTGCCTGCTCCGGGACACATGCAGGGCCGCTGACGCTAGGTCCCCGAGCCCCGGGGGAGGGTCCCAGCTGGGACGGGCTGGAGTGGCCGGAGTCCAGCGCCTGCCAGGGGGCTGCAGAGGACCGTGTGCGGCCACTCTCTGCATTTAGGCGGTCAGCTGCACCGCCTGTAGGCTGAAGCCGCTGCCGCCAGTAGCGCCGGGGTCTTGGGGGAAGGAGCTGCAGGTCCCTGGGTCTCCCGGGCTGGACCAGAGTTTGTGGATGAAGGGTGCTGGCAGCAGGACCAGGAGCTCCGAGGGGCCAGAGAGACCCCAGCCCCGGCCTCCGTGCGGGTGAGGCTGCCTCCCCCGCTGCTGGTGGCTTCCAATAGGTTTTTCTTAATGGATCTTCTTTCTTTTTTGTTAAATGTGCTGTTTTGATTTGCATGTGTGCGGAATAAGAAGTGCTCATTAATTTTTTAAGGACCAGAAGGGTCAGGTAGAAAATGCAAGTCATTCTGCCGCTTCTTGCTGTTTTGCTCGAACCCTCGAGTCAGCCTGATTCCGTCATCTGGTCTCAGAGTGGCAGACGCGTCTCAGGAAAGACACACAGAGAGCCGGCGACAGCCGCGGTAGCGGAGGCGTGGCTGTCCGTCACTTACCCTGTGACACGTCTGTCTGTCCACTTATGTCCATGTGTCTGCGTCACTGTTTTCATTTTCACATTAATGAGATCAATGCCAGCACATTTTAAGAAGTTGCTAGTAAATAAGCGAATCACCCTTATCCTGACACGCCCACTGAAGGGCTTGTTTAAAAAGGAACATTCCAAATAATCACTTTGAGTAAGAATGTTCCAGATTTGTGGCTCCGATCCACACTGGCCATCACCACCATGCTCATTTCGGTGGGTATCACATTTATTTTATTTTTCATAAAAATTGTGCTTTTCAGTTAAAATTAAGAGGCCAGGCTTGACTTTGTGTTGGAGTCATAGACGTTGGCTCTGGCAATGGCTCAGCCGTGGCCATGGTGGTGCCAGGTGGGGAGGCAGGTGTCCTTGGGGGCATTGGCAAAGTCCAGGGGGGCTGGGGCTTCCACTGTGCCCGTGGCCCTGTGGACTCTGCTGCAGGACACTCGCTGTACCAGAGGCGGCTGCCAGCTCAGAGAGAGGGACCAGCAAGGGCTCCCGAGTCTCCGCTCCCAAAGAGCTTTGTGCCCGCTGCCCTGCTGAGCCCCAAGACCGCTCGCTGGGGCCAGGGCAGGTGACTGGCCGCATTGTACGCTTGAGGCAGCCTGCCCAAGGTCACTGGCTCAGCAGGCGGGAAGCCCAGGTGGCCCCTGGCTTGTGTGACTCAGAGACTGAGCCAGACCCACGGGTTGCAGGGCTCTGTGCTGCCAGGGCGTGAGCAGGGCGGTCTGAGTGGTGCTGGCTGCTTTAGGAGAAAGAACCGTGATGCAGAACTGTGCAGTTCTGCCGGAGGCTTGAGCCAGGGCTTGGGCAGTGTTGGAGGTGACTTAATCGCCAGCAGAGTGATGGGGGACCCTCAGGGGCCGTGTTCCCATGCCCCTTCCTTGCAGGAACAAGATGAGGGAGGCAGGGGCTTGCCGGAGGTCACACAACTCAGCAGCGCCTCTCGTAGAGCCACTCCCTTCACAACGAATGCATCTTATTTATTTGTTTGTTTGTTTATTTATTTATTTTTTGACAGGCAGAGTGGACAGTGAGAGAGAGAGACAGAGAGAAAGGTCTTCCTTTTGCCGTTGGTTCACCCTCCAATGGCTGCCGTGGCCGGCGCGCTGCAGCTGGCGCACCTGGCGCTGATCCGATGGCAGGAGCCAGGAGCCAGGTGCTTCTCCTGGTCTCCCATGGGGTGCAGGGCCCAAGCACCTGGGCCATCCTCCACTGCACTCCCGGGCCACAGCAGAGAGCTGGCCTGGAAGAGGGGCAACCGGGACAGAATCCGGCGCCCACGTCCCGGTGTGCTGGCGCCGCAAGGCGGAGGATTAGCCTAGTGAGCCGCGGCGCCGGCCTACATCTTATTGCTTTTTTAAAGAAAGGCTATAGGGTTCAGGATCTTCACTTTCTGGCTTTTCTAAGATTTATTTCGCTAGGGCTGGGCCAGGCGGAAGCCAGGAGCCCGGAACGTTGCCTGGGTCTCCCATGTGGGTGGCAGGGGGCCAACGACTTGGGCCATCATCTGTTGCCCCCAGGATGCATTAGCGGGAAGCTGCATGCAAAGCCGAGTAGGCGGGACTTGAACCTGCTGCACTCAGATGTGGGCGTCCCACGTGGCAGCTCAAGCCTCCGCATCGTGCCGCCGCCTGCCCCTGTCTGAAATAGTCTAGTTCCATCATCTGCTCTTCCGAGAGGTTCAGAAAACCTTTCTCTTCTGCACCCCATTTGCAGCAGGGGCCTCCTGCCCTGTCCCGGACAGTCGCCATGGCTGGGGATGACCAGAGACATCATAGGGACTTGGGCTGTGGTGCCAGACTCCAGTCTGCCTAGTTCTCCCTGGGTTTCAGGACCACACTTGTTTTTTTTCTGACCCAAAGCCCATCAGTCTGCGCTGGCCCTGAGGCTGCCTCGTGCCCCTGGATCGTGGGGTTGAGTGGGACGGGGCTTGGTGGCCACAGGTTGTCTTAGGAGGATGCCAGCTGCCAAGCCCCCCACCCCACCCCTTCCTGCTCCCTCTTCTGCAGCACCTTTCAGGGTCAGCATTTGCTGCAATGGTCTGAGGGCCCCCCAGGCTCTGATCAGGTGCTGCGTGCGGCAGGGCTCTGCAGGTCGGAGCCCTCTCTCTGACCGCCCCTGCTCTGGGTCCCCGGATGGAATCCCACATGATGCTGCTCTAACTCAAAAGGACTCACTGGGAAAAGAAAGCAGCCATGGCCTGGGGTACCCAGGCTTCTCTGGGTACACCAGGGGCAGGTGCAGAAGCCAGGCCCCCTGGGGAGAGTGAGGGGCTGTCCTTTCTCTCACTGGCCCTACCTGGTGATGGTTCCCCACCTTTCAGCCAAGGCTTGGCAGGCCCCCTGAGATGTCCCGGAGAATGTGGGCTCCCCAGCCGGCTTTCCACGCCTCTTTGGGCGGTCGCCTTCACCCCTCCCTGGGCTGGCACCCCCGCTGGGAGCAGCAAAGCTCCCTGACTCTGAAGCAGGCGGAAGTTGACACAGTTCAAGGCCAGGTGCCCCAGCTGCGTGGCGGCAGTGTTCGTGGATCTGGGTGCTTCTCTCAGCCTCTGTCAGGCACACATTCGCACAGGGCCCTGTGCTGGGCAGGGAGGTCCGTGTGACGTGGTGCTGCCTGCAGGGGCTCAGGATGAGAGACGTTTCTAGAACATTACCAGGCAGGCTACAGCAGCCCCACCGCTCCATTCCTCGGAAACACCTGTGCCAGCCCTGCAGCCCCGAGGGATCTGGTCTCCTGTTACTCCTGCTTGCCCGGGATCTTCCGGAGCTGGGATGGAGAGAGCGAGAAGGCCTGGGCAGGACCGGCGGGAGGGCACAAGGGGCTGATGCCAGACACCTTCCACGCTCGTGCAGCTGGCTGGAGACAGCTGGGCGGAAATGCACCGGATCGTGGCTTTCTCAGGGCTGTGGGGGGGAGGGGCGCAGGGCCCCCGCCTCTCTGACCCCGTGCTGCCTCCCTCTGTCCCTGCAGATGATCCCCCCGGACCAGGAGCTGCTGGTGTGGTATGGGAACTCACACAACACCTTCCTGGGCATCCCCGGGGTGCCCGGGCTGGAGGAGGAGCAGAAGAAGAACAAGCACGGTAGGTGCAGGTGCTCCCTGGGCCCCAGGGGAGCCCCAGGGTGGGGGTGGGGCCTCCAGGGACCCTGCTTCAGCCCCTGGTCCAAGGAGGCCGATGCTCTCCCCGGGGACAGCCACCAGAGTCCGCGGATGTGTGGAAGAGGCCTCCTGCCCGCTGGCTAGGACAGGCTGACCGGGGAGCAGTGGGGGCGGGACTGAGCCCCGGCTGTGCTGTGCAGTCTTGGGAATGGCCCTACACCTGCCTCTCCATCGGCCAAGGACCGGGTGAGGTGCTGCCGCCTACAGGCCGGCTGCAGGAAGGCGGGCAGCCGTGCAGGCATTTGCTCAAGAGGCCTGGCACGCAAAATCCTAGGCAGAGTCTTCGCAGGTGTCTCCTGCTGGGTCCTCCTGTTGGATGATCATTATTGGTAGAGGAGGACCTGAGGCTGCCTCGCAGGTTACTGTTTGCTGGGCCCGTGCCCCGCAGCTGCAGACTTGCGTTTCTCAGAAACTTCTAGTTGGCCTGCGGGGTAAGGGGCAAGCAGGTGCGGGGCCGCGCGTGGCACACGGGAGCCACTCAGTGCCTATTTGCGAGGGGAGAAAACGAAAGGGCGGGGTGCATGTCGGAGCGGGGTCCCACTCCCTCTTCTGGCAGGGGTGCGCCCGGCCCTTCTCTGCCGCGGCCCCCGACAGGTTGGCGTCACCTGCCCTAGCCAGGTTCCCACTACACAGATGAGGGCGCTAAGGTTGAGGGAGGCTCAGCCCTCCCCAAGGCTGCACAGCACCTCCTGGGGGCCGCGACCCCGCGGGCGGGGGGCCCCAGCGCCGGTTCTGACCCGGCCGCTTTCTCCTTCCCCGCCCGCCCCGCACGGCCAGAGGACTTCCACCCTGCGGACTCCGCAGCCGGCACGGCGGGCCGCATGCGCTGCGTCATCTGCCACCGCGGCTTCAACTCCCGCAGCAACCTGCGCTCGCATATGCGTATTCACACGCTGGACAAGCCCTTCGTGTGCCGCTTCTGCAACCGCCGCTTCAGCCAGTCGTCCACGCTGCGCAACCACGTGCGCCTGCACACGGGCGAGCGCCCCTACAAGTGCCAGGTGTGCCAGAGCGCCTACTCGCAGCTGGCCGGCCTGCGCGCGCACCAGAAGAGCGCGCGCCACCGGCCGCCCAGCGCCGCGCTGCAGGCGCACTCGCCCGCGCTGCCCGCGCCGCACGCGCACGCGCCCGCCCTCGCCGCCGCCGCCGCCGCTGCCGCCGCCGCCGCCGCCGCGCACCACCTGCCGGCCATGGTGCTGTGAGCCGGCGCGCGCCCCGGGGCGCGAGGGCCGGCCGCGCGGCGGGTGCGGCTGCCCGGGCGCGCCTCCCGCAGAGCCCGCAGCTGGGGCCGGCCTCCCCGTCGTGCGTGGCAGGAGAGAGGACCGAGCGCTCCCACGGAGAGCTCCGCGCTTGGGAATGCCCGGGGAGCGGCAGCCCCGGGGCGGGAGTTTGGGGGAGTGTCCGTGTCCCGTCTCCAGCGGCTCCCCCGGGGACCGTTGTCCTGAAGGGTCGGAGGTCAAGGACACGACCTGGAGAGCCTGGGGCCGGCGAGACAGAACCGTGGCCCTGGGCTTGGACGAGGTGCCACAGCTTGGCGAGGGGAGGAGGCCGCGTCCCTTCTTCGGGCCTCAGTTTCTCCTCCTGTAAAACGAGGGAACTGGACCCCTGCCCAGCCCCTTCGGCTCCGACGTCGCGCGTGGGACGGGGAAGGCTGGGGCGCGCCCAGCGCACACTGCAGCCGCGGAGGGCCTGGGGGGCACCGCTGCCCGCCCGCCCGCCCGTCCCCAGCTGCGGCCGCGCGCGCCCTCTGCTGTCGCCTCTCGCACCTTGCAGTCGTTGGCAGGAGGTGCCCGGGGCGTTTGTAAAGAGATTGTAATATTCGCGGAGAGTATACCATGTATAGAGTTTTCAAGAAACTGTGTGCTACTTCCAGAAAACGGTCACTTTAAGTCTGTAAATATTTATCTAAAAGGATATTTACAAAACCGGGATATATATTATTTGATTGTATATGTACGACTGTAAATACATTTGTACCTCTCTTGTATTCTAAAATAAAAAGTACTGGAACGTTTAGCGTCTGGTGGGTGCACGAGTCTGGGTGGGAGGCTGCTGTGGAGGGCGCCCAGAGGCTGGAGGGGGGGTGAGAGCCCGCCCCCCCCATTTCTGCGGATTGGAATCCACCAGGCCTCCTGGGAGGCAGGGCTGTGTGTGTGTGTGGTGGGTGTGCCAGAGCCCAGACGGGTGCACCACGGAGCAAGGCAACCAGCAACTAGGAAGGCAGATGGACTGCATCGTCAGCCACTGTTATTTCCCCCGAAATCTACTCTCTCTTTTTCCTTTTTTCATTTCATGGCCAAATCGAAGGGTTCTAGAAGCCGCTGGGGGTGGACAAAGAAAATCAGCGTTTTCAAAGGCTCTGGGCACCCGTGTCCAGACCCCCGGGAGACCACCAAGGAGCAGGGAGAGCACCCGGGTAGGGCCGAGGGCCTTCACAGCTGCCTAGGCCAAGTCCAGCTTGCGCCAGCCCCAGGGCCTCATGGCTGCCCTGGCATATGCCAGCCATGGAGGTCATCTTTGCACTTGCTGGGCAGGCACACTACCTGGGATCCCACCAGGCACCTCGCAGTGCAGCCTTGGCCAGCGGTGCACACACACACACACACACACACACACAGCCTGCAGGGGCTCAGCTCACACACACACACACACAGCCTGCAGGGGCTCAGCTCACACACACACACACACACACACAGCCTGCAGGGGCTCAGCTCACACACACACACACACACACAGCCTGCAGGGGCTCAGCTCACACACACACACACACAGCCTGCAGGGGCTCACACACACACATACACACAGCCTGCAGGTGCTCAGCTCACACACACACACACACAGCCTGCAGGGGAGCTCAGGTCACACACACACACAGCCTGCAGGGGGGCTCAGCTTGCACACTCAGGCCACCCCTACTGGGACTTCCTTGTGAACCCCTGAAGATGCTCATGCCTTGGGGCTCTGCTCCTGTGCCCTGGCCGTTGGGAGCCCGAGCAGGCGTGCACTCCCAAGGCAGCAGATGGCGCTACCCAGTTCTCCTCTTCGCTCCCAAACCTTGCTGCCCCTTTTTGAATTCACATTTACTTATTTTATTTATTTGAGAAGCAGGGAGACAGATGTGGAGAGAGAGACTGCGTCCACTGCTTCACCAGACACTTGCAACTGCCAGGCCTAGGCCAGGCCAGAGCTAGAACCCAACCCGGGTCTCCCACACTGGAACCTACACGGCCGGCCCCACTGGGTGCACTTTAGCAGGAAGCTGGAATCGGGGGTGGAGCCGGGACCGGAACCTGGCACTCTGATAGGGGGTGTGGCTGTCCCACACTGGTCTTAACCCTACGCCATCGATGTGCCCCAAGCTCGCTTCTTTGGTGCCTGACCACGAGGCCCCCAGTGTCTCCAGTGGCCCCTGCACGGGGGCCCTGCATTACCCTCCTGTTGCGGCCACAACCCGGGCCAGAGCCTCCTCTGTCCTGAGTTCCCCTCCCTCTCCATGCCAACGAATGAAAGTGTCAGGCCTCCTCGGGGGTGAAGCCGGCTTCCTGAAGAAAGCCTTTGCAGGATTCGAACTCCAGACTTCAGTGGGAGCCTAGAACAGAGATTAGATTCTTACTCCCTTGGGCGTAGTCTCAGCCAACAGCCCTGCGGGCCACGACCAGCTCAAGAACCCGCCTGGTGGCAGTATGCTGTAACTGCAGACCAGGATGCTTTTTTTTTTTTTTTTTTTTTTTTTTAGCGTGCACCAGGGCCTATGCTAAGCCCTAGGACACAGACGGGGCGTGCACTGTGAACCTGTGCAGTTGGCACATTGGAGACAGAGCTGCCACTGAAAATCCCAACCTCTCACTTTGCTTGCAGTTCCAAGCAGAGCCTCAGGGCCCCAGACAAAGGCTGTGTACACACCCAGCAACTCCTGTGTGCCAGCCTGGGCATTGGCATTTAAACACACACAGCACCCTGGAAATCCCCCCCCCTAAATCTCTGAGGCCGCGTCCTTTCTCTTCCCTTGTCCCCTGGTGGTCTTTCAGTCACTGTCCATTTGCAGTACCTGCAAACCGAGAAACACGGAGAGAGTCTTGCAGCCATGTCACTCTGCCGGCGAGCGGCTCCCACGGGCCCTTCTGGTCAGCCTGTCCATTCTGAGCAGCCAGGGGGCTTCTGCACGCCCCACAGGGACGCAGACCGTGTGTCTCCAACCTGGCGCAGCTCACTTACCTGCTCAGTTCCTGTTTACATTCCTTGGGACTTCCACGCACTTCCACTCCCCTTCCCACCCGCTGTCTTCACTTTCTCTTCCCTGATCGCATGGTCCAGGGCCTCCAGGCACAGGGAGTCCTCGGCAGAGGCCAGTAGCCCACACTGCAGACTGCGGCTTAACCCACTACACCGCGGCACCGGCCCCTGCCAGAGTATTTTAAGCAGGGAAGTGATTTGATCTGATCCTTTTTTTGGGAAGATGCATTTATTTTTTTTTTTATTTATTGTGTATATTTTTATTTCTTCAAATTATTTATCAGGAGTGACTGAAATTAAAAAAATGTAATTGAGTCCCATCATCATCATCATCATGGAAATGGCTTTAAGAGAAAACTGGTCATCGGCTGGTGCCGCGGCTCACTAGGCTAATCCTCTGCCTGCGGCACTGGCACCTCAGGTTCTAGTCCCGGTCGGGGCGCCGGATTCTGTCCCGGTTGGCCCTCTTCCAGGCCAGCTCTCTGCTGTGGCCAGGGAGTGCAGTGGAGGATGGCCCAAGTGCTTGGGCCCTGCACCCCACGGGAGACCAGGAGAAGCACCTGGCTCCTGGCTCCTGCCATTGGATCAGTGCAGTGGGCCGGCCGTGGCGGCCATTGGGGGGTGAACCAATGGCAAAGGAAGACCTTTCTCTCTGTCTCTCTCTCTCACTGTCTACTCTGCCTGTCAAAAAAAAAAAATTAAAAAAAGAGAAAACTGGTCAGAAGAATATTATTGCTTCCCATTTTCAACCAGCACATAGTTGCTTTTGATAAGACAGACAGAGCCTGTCAGAACGCTCAAGAGTATAATCCAACATGCCTGTCACAGGGGACCAGACCTAGGGAATAACTTACGTGAACTTCTTGATTTCATCATACAAGACAAGCACAAAAGCACCACCCATGCCTCTGGGGACGTTGGACCATGCACCCTTGAAAAACGCTTTGCCTCCTTCATCACGAGTGATCTTCCTCCAGCAGTCAAGTGTGCCTGTGTACATGACATCAGTTCCTTTACGCCCCGACTGCGTCATCATGCGCCGACGAACAGTGTCGAATGGATAGGAGGAAGTCAACCCAGCAACAGCAGTGACAGACTGCGCGATCACCCAGCTGGTGAAGATGTGCGTGTTCCGGGACCTGGAAGTGTTCCTTCTGTGGTGTCAGAGATACCGAGGCAGGCAGCCCGGTAGATGATAATGCCCTGTACAGACACATTAAAGCCTTGGTACAGGCCCCTAATCCCTCCAGATTTGTAGATCTTAACCAGGCAGTCACCGAGGCCTCTGAATCCCCTTTCAGCTCCAGCTTTGCCCACGTCAGCTGCTAGACGGGTACGGGCAAAATCAAGAGGGTACACGAAACACAGGATGTGGCTCCAGCAGCACCACCTGATGCCAGATTTCCTGCAAAGTAGTGCCAACACTGGGTCCTCTTGTCCACGCCACCCAGAAGGATCTGCTTGTATTTATCTTTGAAGGCAAAGTTGACAGCCTGGGTGGGGAAGTAGCTGATGACATTGGCCAGGTTACCACGCCAGAAGGACAGGACTCCCTGCTCCGTGGGGATACGAACCACGCGGTCTAGAATGCCCTTGTGTTGCTTATCGGCAGTGATTTGCTTGCTGGCATGCTGCACCTGCAGCAGCAGCTTGACCCCCTCGATGGGCGCCACCGCGGACTTGGAGATGGCCAGCCACTCCACCTGCCAGGACGTCCTTGGCGAAGGACACAGCGGCATCTGTCATGTTGGAAGGAAAGAGGAGCCAGGCGACTGCGGGACAGGACTGGGCTGGGAACCGGCTTTGACTCCGGGACTCTGGGGCGGGAAGATGCATGTATTGATTGGAAAGCAAAGGCTTTCAAAAGCCTCCCTGGGTCGCTCCCCAAATGCCCACAACAGATAGGGCTGCGCCAGGCTGAAGCCAGGAGCCAGGAGCTCCATCACAACCTTCCCAGGCGCATTAGCCG